AGACAAAACTTCTAAGTTGATCATTTTCCTTATAAGGTTTTGTAATTGACATGCCCCCAAGTGTTCATGTTTTGACTCAAGCAAGTAGGAACAAATAAAATATTGAGCTTGAAAAGGTCTCCGAGAGGTAGCTTTTTCTCACAAATATTTTGTTCCTATTTCTTATAATTTTGTGTGATACAAACATTGTTTAGAGTCATCACCTTGTCAAATGTCCTTTTCGGAAGGACCTTTCCATAACTTTCAATTTGATTGTTATAGAACTACCCATGAACAAAGTTTCATCGGGTCCAATAAAGGTAATATAGTCCAAATATTTCTTTTACAAACCATGATAAATGACTATTCACCAATATTCATGTCTATACAAATGGTTATATTTAATAGATATATCTTTTCATAAAAAGTCACTACATTTTAAGTGACACTTTTATCATAAAAGAACTCAATCATATTGAACAAGTGTACATATAATTTGGTAGTTTCATACTAGTCATACCATTAGTAAAAGAGAAACTCAACAACCACAATATCAAATATACTCCAAGAATTTTGTGGGTCTAACATAATACAAAAGTATCATCAAATTTTATATCTTAAATTTGTACTCCAAAATTAAATTAGACACTAAGTCTAATTTTTTTTTTGTCATAAGCATAGAACCCCCCACATTTTAAATATGATCTCAAAAATATTTTTCAAGTATTTGAAAATAGTTTTTCCACATTTTTTTTTTCTCTTGCTATCAATGTGTCATTGGTAACATGAAACCTCTTTTGAAAATATTATTCTACAAAATAATTATAGTGCTTCAATTCTCTTTGACAATCTTTACACAATGTCAAAGTTCATTCCATAGAAGCACAAAATCACAAACGATCTAAGTCGGTCGTATTTTTCCTCTATCACAAATAGACATACCACTTAGTATTTAGAATACTAACAATACAGACAAATTTTTTTGACAATTTGTTTCTATATGACAGTGAAGTTTATAGAAAGTCAAAAGTACAACACTGACTTATTATGTGAAGTTTTCATA